TTACTACATGTCCACACAAAACTTTAGCCTTTATCCAACTGAAGAAAAGAATTTGAGAAATTTTACTGGAGGCTTGCTAGGGAGAGTGATTTTCTGAAGGAGTTTGAAGTTATAGGAAATGTGATTCTTTCTGTAACAAGCTGCTCAGGTAAGCCCAAGCCTTGAGTGAAGGTAAAGGAAACACCTTGGAGACAGATACTCAGTAACATACAAGATGGAGTCAGTTCTCAGCCCAATCATATCTTCCTGCTCACCTGGGAAGTGACTCTTAAGCTGGGGTATGGAAGGGTGACAGGAATGAGCCTCCTCCATCATTATTACTAAGGTGTCTCTAGGGCAAGGAACAATATTTTTCCCAGAGAAAAATTTTATTTCCATTTATGTATTTTGCTACAGGATCTCACTATGCATCTCAGACTCGTAGTGATCCTCCTGTTTACAGCCTCCTCAGTGCTGGGATTGCAGGGTCATTGTGTCCTGGGGGCAGGAATATCAAGGCATGTGGGACCAGCACTTGCCAAAGCAGACACTCAGCCCACTGAGCTATCTCACCAGAACTTTTCTCAGAAATTTGACTTGCCTCATAAACTATGCTCTCCCAAGATGGTAAAGGTTCATTTGGTTCAGTGACAGGAAAACCAGAACCAGACGTAATTGTTGCCTGGTAGATTAAGAAGATGAACTTGGAATTAGGCTTCTTGGGTTTGAAACTGAGCTCTAAATCAGTAACTAACCTCTCACTTGCCTCAGTTTTTAAAACTGTGCATAGCAACAAGGCACATGATCCGTTTATTGTTGGGATTAAATGAGTTAACATATGAAAGGGGTTAATGTTATTACCATTACCGGGATGGTAGCTAATTATCATAAGCACCGCTGTCATCATCATTGTCCTTGCTGCCATAATTATCTTCATTGCCGTCTTGTAAAATGTGGCCCCCTTAAATCCTAGTTTAGGACCTAACAGAGGTAAAGCAGCCAGTCCACTCACTCAACAAGACGCTGTCCAGAATTCACCACAGCTTGATTATTGCACTTTTTTGTGAAGAAAACTGCTGTGGTCTGGGTGTTTTTGTCCCTCCAAAAATCTTTGAAATCCTGATCAACCCTCAGTGCGATGATGCTAGGAGATGGGGCTTGGGAGCTGAGTAGGGATGAGGGGGAAACATGACTTTGGAGAAGTGTTCACTCTCTTTCTGCCACGTGAGGACACAACAGGAAAATGGCCACCTACTACCCAGCAAGTGGGCCCTTGTCAGCTTCTAACCTTGCAGTGCCTGTATTCCAAACTTCTCAGCTTGCAGAACTGGGAAAGGTAAGTATTTGTTGTTTAAATCCTTGAGTCTATGGAACGCTGTTATAGTTGTGCCAACAGATGAATCCACCTAGAGAGATGTAGTGAAAAATTATATATATATATGAAAGAAAGAGAGAGAGACAGAGAGAGACACAGAGAGAGACACACAGAGAGACACAGAGAGAGAGAGAGACAGACAGACAGACAGAAAGACAGAATGAATCAGAATAAAACACAAACATAAAATATTCTATAAAATGAATACTTCTGTGCTGCCAGACTGGCTCACAGATCTTCTCAGGAAAGGGCTTTGGCATCTAGTATCTCAAATCACCTCTGTCCCTCAGGCCACAGGCCCGTAATATGCTGTCTGCTGAGTCACATCTGCCGCACAGGATTTGCCCTTTGGAGATTGCTACACAGTGTACGGGCTTCCTAGGTGGCATGGTCTGCTGCCTGCTCTGTGGGCTTGCCCAGATAGCCTGGAGCCTGTTACAGAGTCTCTGAGGATTTCTGTAAGGCTTGTAGTCTGCCAAAGTACAAAACTTCCTAGCTGATTAAAAACAAATTCTAGGGCCTGCATCCACAACTGTTCTACAGAAGCAGTAACCATGGAAAATGCCACAAACAAAACAGAAATAGCCTTTGCTCTATGGTGAACATGTGACTCTGAGCGTGCTGCTCCTGCTGCCCTCGGCCTTTCTCCTTCTTATCTGCAAACCCGAGCTCACCCAGAGGAGCCCTAACTGTCTGGGATTTGTTTGTGTGTCCTTTTCTTTAATTAAAATTTTAATAGCCAGGGCTCCCAGATAATCCTTTCTGATTTTTATCTGTGCTTTGCCTGGCATCTTGCTCCTCTCTTGACACATTTGCTGCAAGAACAGAAGCTTTCTTTGCTCTGTACCATCCATGCACGTTCTGTCTCTCCCAGTCTGTGTTTGGGGAGCGTGGACTCTCACTGTCTCCGGTAGCCCACCAGGAGACAGAGTGGCAGGCACGGAGGGTGATTCGGCATTCCCAGATTACAGCCATCACAGAAGTTGCCTCTTTTGCCTACCTTTGCTGAGTGACTGGTTCACTCAGACCTTCTGAATGAAGAAATGACAGCTAGTCTCTAATCACTACATTAATATAATAGGAATTCACAAATCCGTTTACGAGAGCCAGAGAGCTAATGTCAATAAGTTTGAAGATGATTACAAATGAATGTTTTCACAGCAGATCTGGTTCCTTTATTTGCATAGAAAAGAAAATGTTTGCTAACAAATATTGCAGTCATGGAAACCACCAAAAATTGAAAAATACCTCGACCACACTGTCCCCTTAGTACACTATGGATATATATGTGTGACACGCACACATATACACACACAGTAATCTTTTTCATCTTGTGAAGATAATTATGTCAAATTTCATTTCTGTATACATTGCAGCCCTTAAGTTAGAAACAGAGATATTTAAAACACACCACAAGTTCCATAACCTTGTTCTGATCCTTCAATTCCTAATCTCGAGGACACACTCGGCCTGATTGGCCTTGACATCAGAGTAGACTCTTGAGCACAGAACCATGGTTTTGGGACAGGAATCCAAGAGCTAACTTGTCCACCTCTTCATTTCATATATAGGACCGGGAAACTAGGAACAGCAAGTCACACAGCTAGACGCCCTACTAGCAACAGACAGAACTGTATGTTCTGCCTCCTGCATTGGCTGCTGATATCTCCCAGCAAGGGTGAAGGAAAGAAAACTTGCATCCCTGAGCTCAAGTACCGCAACATCGTGGTGGATATGACATACTTATTCTAAAACCAGTAACCTCTCTTGGCATAATCTCAGGATAGACGAGCAATTACATTTCTATGCAAATGTTCACATTTTGATAGTGTGTCAGGGCGCGGAATCAATATTGACTCTAGGATAAGCCTAGAAGAGAAGATGAGTGGGCAGGTTATTTCTGGCTTGCAAAGAGGGAAATAAAGCTGAAGACACAGCACACATCTTTCATAGAGTCGCATAGCGAGGTGGTAGTAGAACTGTTCCTGTAATTTAGGAATCCTGGCTTGGCACCCTGCGTCAAACCACACTGCTCTCCTGTACTCGACGCGCCTTACAGGGATTACAGCCAGGGGCAGCTCAAGCATTTTTGTTAGTGTGAAGTTTTTCATAAACCATTCTCAAACCTGCAGCTGTTTCCCTGAAAGAACCTTTTCTTGGTGTGACCAGTAACTTGGTGGTGGAAAGAATTAGATCTTCTAATTTTCTATCCAAAAACTCAATTTCAAGATAGATAGCAAGCATTTCCAACGTTCTTAAGCCATTTCCCTTTCAGTGATGAAGTATAAGGTATATTTAAAAGAAGTATAAGACTGGGCGTGGTGGCGCATGCCTGTAATCCCAACGTTTGGAAGGCTGAAAACAAGAGGATCACTACAACTCTGATCTGTGTAGTGAGACCTTGTACACCCTGTACTAAATGCATAAAAGAAGAAGTATAGGCTGGAAAATAAGTATATTGCAATTAAAAGTGCACTGCTAGTAGTCTTGTAGTTCTTTGTGTAAAGCCCTTTCACAAAAGAGAGTATTTTATTCAATAACTAAAAGATGGGCACGCGAAGCTTTTCTGCTGGTGTAGGCCCTAATTGCAGCTAACACATGCACACAGAGAGAAACACAAACAAACATTGTTTGATTCTGGCTTGCTCCAGGGCATTCCATCTTTCAAGAGACCAAGGGAAAAACAACCTCAGAAATTTACCACCAAAACTTCCAAATTTATTGCAACACAACGTAATGGCAAAACACTGTTTTCTTAGTGGACACATTCTTGGACAACCACCATGGCCAAGATGCCTGGCTTTATTTTTACAATAAACCCCAAGAAAATGTTGAATTCCACTCCTGGTTTGGGGATGGCAAAGATGCTGTAGGTTGATTGGAGCAAAATATCACGTCTGATTATTCATTCTTATACTGTCTGATTAACCTGCGCTCGAGGCATTTATTTCATGTTTATACCGGTTTAAAATAAATCATGCTTAAAAGAGATTTGTGTAGCCCATCTTCCTGTGCAGAGTCGAGCTACAATGGTAGGATTAGCAATGCCGGCCCCTTCCTGGAAATTATCGGTAATAGAAGTATTCAGCCTAAGAAAACACTTCTAGTGTAGACACGGCACGGAGTTGGACACCTAGCCACATTCCACTGAAATCAGCCTGAATAGAGAGAAGTGGAGATTCACATTCAAAGATTGCTCTTTTAATTTAGCATCAATGTGTCCACTTTTCATAGTGCTTTTCTTATACTATTATAACTTACTATATTGCTACTGTAGTCCATATAGGAAGCAAAGGGGAGAAAAGTCAAGAAAGATGCAAATTTTAAAGTTTGCCCACAAAGGTTAAGACTTGTTAACCTAATTTAACCATATTTTGCTGGCTTACAGAAACAGGGAAAACCTCGTCCAAATATCAATATTGTAGCATAATTTATTTATAACCTATATTATTTATAACATATGTAAAATAAATAATAGCAGCCAACTGCCAACTCCCATCCCAACTCTCTTGAAACTAAAACTTACAGAATGAGTACTTAGTTAAAGTATGTATTCTAGTTCCTTTACTGCAAATAAATGTTAAAATTTTTATAATAATGAATGCAAAGCAGCTATAGATATAGCACAGTAACTCACCACACATACCTGGTTTGAAGAAAGCAATCTTGTTCAAAAATTTTCCACCACACAGAAGGGATATTCTTTTTTCTTTGAGCTTTTCTGCATCACAAATCCCATCCAAATTATTCTAAAGAAGAAACAAGTGTTCCCGGCACCTTTTCTCTTCTTAGAGGATCTAAGCAAACATTTCCATCTACCTCCCAGCCCTTTGAAAAGCTCATTTTGACACACACACACACACACACACACACACACACACACACACACACACACACAGAGCTTCTCACACTGGTTTGAGTGCTGAATTAGGCGGTCCTCTTTCAAATTTCCACTCCCACTTGCTTTTTTTGGGAAAGGACTTCTAAATAGTCTTTTCTAACTCAAAGTGCACTTTTTTCAGCAAGCAATTTCTACAATTAGATATTGTGAAAGGCAGAAGCACAGCCGTTAGATAGGAACAAGAATATTAATATGCTTTAGAAACTACTAAAGCAGGGACAATTCATTTTTCTTTTATTTTCAAACACTAGTGAACAGCTGAATTCAACTGCAGGGGAAAAAAGAACTCGGCAGATACCATAAGTTTATTCTACTGGACTCTCATTTTTTACATTGAAAATATTTACTTTTCCTCCATGTGGATGCCCTCTCTTTGTTTTGCTTTGCTCCAGCCTTTTCCGTATTTTGCCAAGCGTCCCAAAATGATTGAGGTTTTTGTTGCCTGTAACAGCACACACAGTAATATCAGTGGGAAACAAAGCCCGACTCAAAACACTACGGATGGGCATCTCTCATCCCGCTTGCTTTTTATATATTAGTGTCAACAATTAAAGTGAAGACATCCAGACCCCAAGTGTGCATTGGGCATTCACGTATCTCAGCGTTTAAAACACCAGCCCCCTACACAGTGTGTCTGGCAGCCCCTTGAGATCCCGACAGAGGCAGAGCATCTGTACCCCAGCAGGGCCGAAGGTACAAAGAGCCATTCCTCCTCCTGCTGGGGACTCCGCACTCCCGCAGCTTGGGAACAGAGCTTTCCCCATCTGAGCTCCTCCCCCGCTTGCCTGCTGGCCCCAGGGTTGTCCCTCACTTAAGATTACCGCTGCAGTGCAGTGAGGTCTTTCTTTTCTGCCTCTCTGGTTCTGCATGGAAGTTATCTTTTCAAGCCTGTTTCTTCCTCTACCAAATCTTGACGCTAGATCCATTGGTTATAAGGACAGCGCTGTCACGTGGACGGTCGACTGTCTCATCATTTACGTTGGGACAAGTTTAGCTGAAAGTAAATTACAATATTGTTAATTATAAGAATATTAGCCGGTATGTACCACTTACTGGCAGTGGTGATTGTCCTTTACATAGAGGAGATCATTCAACGTTTTGAAGTCTCTAGAAAAGTCAGAACTGTTATCTCCATTCTGTAGATAAGAGCACTGAAGCTCAGAGAGAGTAGCCTTTCTGGGGTCACTTAGCCAGTAAAGTGGGATCTAAGGTTCACGTTTGAGGCTTCCTTAGTTCAAACAATGGTGCTGTATTATTACATAAGGCTTCTTTTCTTTCACTAGTTTCGTCTGCTTTCTTGTGGTGAAAAACAAAAAAACATCGAATATAAATGTATTGAAAAGCATATGAAGAAATGCTAAAAGAAAATACCAATGAAAAGCAGTGGTGCCTGGGGTGACAGACATTTTTGGAAATAGTGATGGTGATACTGTACGATGTTATGAATGCAATACTACTGAATTATAAGCCTGGAAAATTCTTATGTTATGTATTTTACCACAACAAAAGAGTAGAAGAAGAATGTTTCCCTTAAAAGCAATGAATATCCTTTTATTTGAATCAGACTGGCAAAAATTGGAAGTCTAGAGTCCACAGCAGGCATATGCTGGGCTTTGGGGTTGCTAGCGTTGGACAAGTGTGATTATTCTAGAAGAAATCTAGAATACTTGGTTGATTTCCATGTGTGCCCCAGCACCCACCAAACTCTCTGGTGGGTTCACACAGAGCAATGGAATCCATCTTTGAGATGTCATAGACTCAGTGTGGGAGATACCCAGGTGAGACACCCTGTAGCAGTCAGACACCTGCTAGGTCTTCCAGATGCCCCTGTGCGCCACCTGCATGCCCCTTCTGCAAGTCCTTGCTCTAAGGTCACCTCCTGAGGGAGGCCCTTCCTGGCCACCCTGATTTAAATGACACCCCAACCCCAAGCAACACCTCTTGCTCTTCTCTACTTTACTTTTCTCCATAGCACTTAATACCCTTTATTAATATTTCCTACTTGAGTTTCAAAATTCATCAGTGGCCCTCCACTAAAATAAATATAGGGGTAGACAGTTTGCAGTTTTTGATCTGTTTTATTCCAGAGGGTGTTCTTAGCTCTTGGAAGCAACACATAACAGGCACAGAGTAAGTAGGAACTAGACCAATATGATGATCAGTAAGGGATATAGGTGTGCTAGAAGAGCCTAGGCTGCCTCCAGGGCTTGGGAGTGGAGAACTTGGATATATGGAATGGAAGACATTCGAGAAAGTCTTGAGCCAGCCTTGCTCAATGGTGATGATGGCACTGAGGGCGCTGAGTGTGCTGAGGGCGCTGAGGGCGCTGAGGGTGCTGAGGGTGCTGAGGGTGCTGAGGGTGCTGGGTGTCTGGCAGCCCCAGCACCCATAGCCAGAGCAGTCAAGCTTGTGGCCTGAGGAAGTTTTCACTTTTCAGAGTAATACAAGATCATAATTTCCGGGTGAGCAGTCGAGCTTGCTAGCCGTCCTAAACTGAAGTAGATTATTTCTAGTCAAGAACAAAAATTGTGATGTTCAATTTTTCCTGCTATTGCTACTTGAGATTCTGTTTTGCTTGTAAATCACCCCCGGCTATGTGAAAGCAAGCATTTTTCCCCAAATAACTGTTTGTCACTACATAAGTTTAGTATCCTAGTCTGGTATTGTATCCGGCACAAAAAAACTCAAGTCTCTTATAGAACAGTCTCTATAAAAACTTTTTATTATTGTCATAAACATTGAACTTGATCGCTCTTTAAAATTCTGCTTTTTTTTTTTTTCACTCCAGAAACAGAATGTGGGGAAATCAATGGGCTCCTCACATCGCAAATCCATTCTTTTATGTGACTTTTAAAAATGCAGGCTGGCAATTTAAGAGTCTAAATAATAAGGCAGCCTTTTCAGACACTCTTGATAGTTTTACTGTGTGCAGGTATAAAATGTGAGTTACGCCTTCCTAGCATGAGCTCACTGAAGTGTCTCAGGCTCTGTGGTGTTTGGTGCGCCATCAATTTTTCATAGAAATACTATTTGCCTTGAACTCCCCTACAACTGTTTCGAGACTCTTTTTTCCCCTATACTTTGGTGGAGGCTTATTGCAACCATCAGCTCTCATTTCAGTTTCCTGGACAGTGCTGAGAAGCGCTGCTAAGCCGAGAGCTTTTGTGTGGTGTCAACGGGAATGGAATGTTGGCCAACCGAATTAGCTTTTGTTAAATTTACATGTCACTATCTGTCCAAAGCAAAGAAATGATTACAAGAAAAACATGTTTTCCCCAAATTCAGAGAGCCAAATGGGGAAGATGAGTAACTTATAAGTGGGTAGAAAATAGGTAGCCAAGAGATTTTTGCTAAGTAATGTTTTAAAAAAAAAAGCTTCTAAAACTATAAGGAAGAGGTTCTTAAGAATCCATCAGGGGTAAAAATTAGATTACATAGGGTGATGGTGAGCCAATAGGATTCATCTTCTCCCTTAGGCTGTTAAAAAATTGTTGAAAAGATTATTATTCCCAAATGCTTCCCTGAAACACATGAGCCGGGCCCACAGGAGGTTCCAATATTCTCAGCCAAACTGACAAAATATAAACACAGCATGTCATGGGGATTGCAATAGCACAAAAGAGATTAAAGGACTTAAAGGAGGATACCAGGAACTGGAGGCTATCTCACAGGTCCTAGCACTCCAGAGGGCTGCTAAGCTAGCAGATTAGTAAAATACAAAAGTACCTTGTACAAAACAATGGTCCAAAATGGTGGACAGGAGATTATAGGCCTTCTATTGCCCATTATGCCAGGTTAGCACCCAGAGTCTAAAATAAAAGATTGGCTCACAGAACACCGGTCAGCTGGGCTTTGCTGAGCTAAGCTGTGCTGAGCAGCCCACGGCTCACTGCAGGTCTGCACGTTGGCTGGGGACTCTGCAAGTATTTATTGCTGTGTCTATGCTACAGGGATAGCACTGGCATGAGGAACTTTTTTCACAGAAAGAGGGCAACAGGAAATATGTGAGGTTTCTTATAATTGGCATACTGTCCTTCCTGGCCTGTTCCTTTTGGCCAAAGGACCAAGGCCAAAGGCAAGTGGCAGGGAACTAGACTGCCCAGAAAGAGGCCCTGGAAAGTTTATAGAGGCAGAGAAGAATTAGAACCAACAATTTAGTCTCCCACTCCATTTCTTACTTTCAACCTTGTTGTGTATGTCTTTTCAACTTTTATTTTTTATTAGTATATGTTTGTAGTACATAATGATCACATTTCTCATAGGACACTGGCACAAGTACACAACACATTTTATTTATTTATTTACTTATTTATTTTTAATAATTTTATTGAGACACAAATAGCAATGAGACAGTTTCAAAACTGATTAGTAGGACAGTTTCAGTTATAAATACATTGTACATTGTTATCTCAGTGGTTATTCATTGTACAAGATGCAGACATGACATCCCATCCACAAACACTATTAGAACAAATCTTCTTATTCATTGAATTAAGAGAATGCAGCTGTATATCTATTTTAACTATTTACAAAATGGTCATGCATTTGTCACCCCTTTTTCATTTAGTTTTGTCAGAGAAGGGTATTCCATTGTAGGTGCGTGAATTCAGCAAAATATTCCAATATAGTCCAGTAGTCCATGATAGTAGTGGGTCATCTGTAGGACTGGCAATGTCAGAAGTTGTTGACCTGAGCCCTTCATAGTCCAGCATACCAACATGGCTTCACCCCTTATACCTCGTTTTTATACCTTTCTGCTAGATGGTTAAAACCATGACAAAGCAAGACCTATATAAAAAGAAATATGACTTTTTTATCTGATAAGGTCAGTCAAGTCCCCTTAGGACTTATCCTGAAACCCTGTACTGCACTTTGTAGATCCTTTGTCAGTGTCAGCCATGTAGATGAGTCACGGACATTGCTTGACCAATTTGCTCTCTGTA